CCCGAGCCGAAAAAATCGGAGATTCTCATCATTCAACCCCGGCTATCCGCTACTGAAAGCTGCCTGAGGACTTGCCGCCAGCCATCATGAGATCCTTGGCGCCCATGCCTGGCCCACAACCCGCACGAGCGATACAGAAGGCCAGCGAGTATGTCTAGCTTTTCGCGCTGGACAGTGGCTGGTTCACGCGGCCTGTTTCGCATCAAGCCGCATGATCGCGTTTAATGTGTAGTGTAATTGTTTTTGTCTCTTCGTTGTCGAGCCCACCCGACGTTGACCACAAACGGCATCAGCATGGATGTGCGATATGTCCCATTTGTGCTTCCTGCTAGTCCTCAAAGCCTGCAGGATCTGGCAGAAAGCAGGTTGCCAGAAGCTAGCAACCTCGCAAAGCTGGACCCGGGTGAGGTTGACATTCAAGCGACTTGGCACTTGAAGGTGCTCAACGTGGACAAATTCCATTGTGCTGCGGCTTTCTTTTGCACACTGGCCTGGAGACTCTGAAATCCTGCCAACTCAAGGCAATAGTGAAGGCAGAAATAGCTTCTCAGCTCACGTCGGTCTTCAACAGGATCGCACTTTGGTGGCAAGACAGACCATGTGCGCAGCAGTGACAACAACGAAATGAAACAAATGCTTGCTTGGTTTTGGAGCGCTCCTTTTTAAGCATCCTGTGGGGGGGCTTGAATGCACTTACAAAATGCCTGCTTCCATGGACAGCTGAGGACAGTTTGAAAAAGTCCTGTGACGCTCTGTCCGAGGCGGGGTGCAGAGCAGAGGTCATGCACAAAACTCTGCCGGGCCAACCTTGCAGTCTCAAATTCAGAACAGCAAAGGGACAACCGTGACAAACTGCATGGTGCTCGGCTCGTTAAACGCCGTGGTAGATTGAAGACCGCGCGCGCTGCAGATTAAGCATCTTATAGTGCGTTTAGCAGTTGAGCTTGATTTTGAGTATGATGCTGGAAACAAATCAGTTTTTGACATTGTTCCGAAAGTACTTTTTAAAAGCTATTCCACCCGGAGCCGTTTTTCAAGCAACCTCTCGCTACTTCCTTGTCCATGTTTGTTGCACACAGCACGAGTATCGGATGACAGGTGCCGCATCATCCCGGCGCGGTAGACTCCAAGCCGTATAGCAATCGTCCAGCTCCAAACTGAATGGCCCAACGCGTCGAAAAGAGAACGGGACAATAAAGGAGGACAATAAAAGCAGGTCCAAGGCACGAAATGCCTGCAATCGTTTTCCGCAGATCCATGCTGCCACTGGCAGAGACTGAGAGAAGGCAATCCTGAACGAAAGAGAATATTGTTAGACTCCGCATGTGGCAATATTAAATGTTTTGTGTAGATTCTGCACAGAAGCTAACCTACGTGTTCTTATGATTTCCGTAGATGCTGCACATACTACCACACCGACTTTCTGTGACATGCATTCAGCAGAACCCGCACGTGACTATCCCCCTGTCCCCCTCCTTCCCCCTATCCTCCCTTAAACCACACCCAGCGGAGCCAACAGCATGCCGACGCCGTGAAGTGTAGCGACCTGACAAAAATTGGCAAAAAATGAGGTAAGAATGTGAACATGGTAAAGCACCGACTTCTTGCTAGTGTGCTCAGGCTCAGTAGAACCTGCACGGAACCATCCCGCCCGCACCCCCCCCACCCCCCCCGCACCCCCACAGCCATCACGCTGACGGCCGTGAAGTGTAGCCACCTGACGAAAGTAGGCAACATTTGGGGTTGGGCACACGGCGTTCTATGAGCCGCTGTCCAACTACATGACACTACATGCTTGCTCCGTGCCCCACTCTGCGTTTTGGAATCCTTGTGGGAACTCGACTCAGAAGTTGAGCTTCAGAGCGCCATGCAGGCAACGATTTGAGCTTGCCCTTTTTTCTTGCACAAGCTTCTTTGTCCAAAGTGCTGTGTCGCAAGGAGCTTTCCCGGGTGAAAGGCTCCTCCGCAGAGGCTGGCTCTGGGAACCTCCATGTAGCGGAGTCGGAAGCAAGCCTTACGGGTAGCTCATGATTCAGACAGCAGACATGCTTCATGGCAATGCGTGAAAGCTTGTGATCGTAGCTCCTCGTAGCCGGACGCTGTGTTAGGCCAATGTGAACTTGATCAAGAGCTGCTGCCAAGAGGCAGGTGCTGCAGGGCATTCTCTCAGAGAATTAGATTGGTCTGGAAGTGCAGCCTTCAGTTCAAACACGGCGTAGTTCGATTCGTTGTCTTTCAACCTAATGACTTCAGTCAGTGTCGTCCACAGAGTCACCGGATCCTTTGATCTCTTCTGTCTTCCGGCCTTATCTCCTTGACAAGAAAAATATTCTGCCGTCAGCACAAGCAACAGCACCAGCACCAGCACCAGCACCATCACCACCAGCACCAGCACCGCCACCACCACCGCCACCGCCGCCGCCCCCGCCCCCACCACCGCTGCCGCAGCCACGGCCGCCGCCGCCGCCGCCACCACCACCACCACCACCACCACCACCAACCACTTCTGCATCGACTTGAATACAAGAATTATTGTTAATCGGTTTGTTAGCAAGCACAAGGAGCTCGAGAAATGGAAGAGGGGTTCATCCGACGAGCCAAGAAGCGCTACGCCACATGAGGCATGGGGGCTTCACTGTCTTCCGAGCCTGCTTGATTGACGTAGGACGTAGGAGTACTCATCACCCAAGTGATGTGCAAGACCAGTTGGTAAGCCGCAATCCGTGGACAGCACGCTCAGTGTCTCTGAACTCAAATGTTTGCACTGGGCTTGATGGAGCTTTCGTCTCCACACACAACACAGCAGTAGCAGCATTGGAGAGACAGGACATGGAGGAGATCCATCGATCCGTTAAGAAGGAGCTTTTCGACGTGCAGCAGGCCAGGCTCCAGCGTGGCGCTGGTTCTTCTTAATTGGAACGCCTTCATTTGCCAACCTCTGAGTTGAGCATAAGCTGCAGCGGATCAGCCATGAGATCTCCAGGCTAGGGGAGCCTCTGTGAGGTTCTGTGAGGTCCGTGTTATGACTGATGGAAATGAGCTGCATCATCTAGACCAAGTAGCGACACGTGACGGACTGGCGATGCTGCCTCACCTGGGTTTCACTTCCAGATTTCCTTTCCGAGTCGGTCCTCCTTTGGCAGGGTTTTCCCCTGCTGGCAAGGGTTGTGGGGGTCAGGACTTGTTCTGGAGTCTTGTTGCGTGCTAGCTTCTTCTCTAGCAAAGAAATTTGAACATTCATTGCCAAGAGTCAAAGTCCAAGCCTGCGGGCTGCAGCTGGCAGCAGGGCCATCCCTAATCCTGTGACGAAAACGCATTGCTAGAGCAACACAGGTTTTTAACAGCGAGCTGATGGACTTCAAGGCAATTCTCGAGGCCTGTCAGCAGGTAGCGCGTTGTTGGGATTTCTGCTGGGCGTTGCGCAGGGGCGGTGACTCTGAAGGTCACGATTTGGATGTGGCCAGATATTGTAGTGCTGGAGTAACAGAACATAACAGAACGAAAGAGAGCGTGTGCCCATAAGCCGCTTCATAACCCGCTTAATGTTGCACCCTCTTTAATCTTAGCCCCCACCCTTAACAATAGGGCATCCAGAAAATGGAAATTAGACGTCCTGAATGAGGGTCCCACGGTTCTGAGGGTCCCGGGAGGCCTTGGAGATCATTTTAAAAGGGATGGTCTGGATTCGGTCCCGTCTTTTAGGGCGCCAAAAACAAAGGACATTAAACAGGGTCACCCAAACAATGGCCATGTCCTGAATAAGCGGCGAAAACACATTGAAGAGGGTCCCTACACAAAAGGGAGTGCAACATTACTCTCGGCGTGATGTCGTTCTTGTCCAGCCTGTTCAGTCATGCAGCGACTTACCAGCTGGGCTGCGGTGGGATACTCAAATTGAGGCTTGCAGTTCTGCAGCGTGATGACTTGTGATAGGTTTGCAAGCGACAACTACAGTGTTGACCCTGTTGCTAACCCCTCTAACCAGAAGCGCTGGCGAGAAACCCACACATTTGCAGGACCGAGATAAATCTTCAGAAGCGAAGTTTGAAGCCTTGGCATCTTGGCTGGAGACAGCTTCTCGCTTGGCCCATTGTGTTCGGGTCACAACAGCTGCAGCAGAGCCTGAATGGGTTACCCGCTTGCCTGTATGCATCGCACGTACCAGATAGAGTCAGCTTCAGTCTGCGCAGCAGCTTCAATCCCAGGGCAAGTAGTTGCTGGGATAGCCCGCCGACTTGACTGTTTGAACCAGGGGTTTGAAGCGCTACTAGTAGTGGAAGTTTGGAGAGAACTCGGGGTGTAGGCTCGGATATGCACAAAGCGCGCGGGCAGAAGAGAGCTCGGGGAAGCTCTGTCCAGTATCCCGCCAGTATGAGCAGTTCCGGTCAGCGCTTTTCGAAGACCACCACTCCATTTGCGGAAGCTTTTTTCATCAGTTTGCAAGGGAGTGCTGTCGCGGAAGCACACGCGGACGCATGCCGCACGCGGGAGGGAACATCCCACACGCACAAGCTTGCAGAAGCGCCTCGCGGAAGGGTTTAGTTACCTTTAATTTAATCATCACATGGTAGAAGGAAGAAGCCCGCAGCTCATTTGCCTCAGAACAATACAGTGATCTGAAAGGGGTTTGCCGATGTTGGTTGCACCAAGGATTTTAGCCTGCCTGGTAGAGCTACCTTTGGGGGTTTGGTCGCTTTGCATGGGTTTTTCGCCAAGCAGCAAATTTAAGCTTGTGAGCCAAACAGCAGATACTGTCTTGTAGCGACTGCCAGCAGTCAAGAAGCATTGCTTCCAACGGCTCTTGCGGAACAAAGAGGAAAGTAATCACCGTCATAATACCTGTCAAACACCTGCCGTAAGAGGGCAAATGCCGGATCTAGGAATCTAGGCACATTCATAATTCGTCTCGGTTGGCTGGGCACATGTGGCGCATCACGCTGCTTTTGCACGGCTGCCTGCTGGCACCATGGCTTCTCATCATGCGCAGCGTGGAACCATACATGGATGAGATCTTCCATGTGCCGCAGGCTCAGAAGTATTGTCAGGCGAAGTTCCACGAGTGGGACCCAAAAATCACAACATTCCCTGGTTTGTATGTCTCCAGCTGTTTGCTGAGAGGGGTGGGGCTCAGCGGCATGGGCTTCTGCGGCAAAGACATGCTACGCCTAGACAACGCCTTCTTCGGCTTGGGAGTGCATGCCGTCAGCTACCGGCTATTGCGGAGGCGGTTGGATCCCAGCAAAGCAGCGGCTCAGTCATTGATGCTGTCTTTGTACCCGATTCACTTTTTCTACCAGCTGCTCGGCTTTGCCTGCAACGTGGTTCAAATGCTTTGTCTCCGTCACGCTAAGCTATTGACTCTTGAGCTGGTGGACGTTTGCAACGTCTGTTGAGTTGTTTGTGTGTTGTGAAATTGTTGCGAACGATCGTTCACCTAAGAACCTGATCTGGGATTTCCGTCACTGATTTAAAGCAAGCGAGGCTACTGTACTACACGGATGTCGGCTCGCTGTTTTGGGTTTTGCTGGTGCAGGACTTGACCTGCATTTCGCGTTTCTCATAGCCCCAAAGGCTGAGAAGGGTTGTCGTATGTTGTCGTAATGAAGCTGTTGTGACATGCGTCCGCCAAACAGCGCTGAACTGTGTGAGGTCCAAGATGAAATGGGCATGTGAAAAAAGATTCAATAGATGTTCCACATCCTCCACCCTTCCATTCGGCACTCCCTCATTCTAGAGAGTCGAAGAGGACCCCTGTGGAAACCCCCCACTTACTACTTGTAGCCTTTGGATGGACAAAACCCAGAACCCTGAAGCCGGCAAGGGCCCGAGCCAAACCTAGCCACTCTACTGACTCTACTTGTTTTTTTGCTCTTCTTCGGGGTGATTGGTGGCATTTTGTGCGCCGAGCCTCGGCTTTCAGCCCGGGCTCGGCATGAAAGCAAGAAAGACGCAGGACATCGTGACGCCAGGGAGGGGCCAGGCGTTACCAGGCCCATGGCGCATCGCTGTGGGAGCGGCAACAGGCGCAGTGGCGGTGCTCTTTCGACAGACGCAGCTTGCTTCGCGGGCTTCAGCTTCTGGGGTTTGGGGTGTGGGTGAGTTGTTACTCCAGGCTCGCTGATTTTGCATGTCATGGAACTACAGCGGCAGAATCATCAGGCCATGTCATCCTTTGCCAGAAATCCTGCTTATTGTTCTTTACTACGAAAATGGTTACAACAACAAGACAAGACGCCGCAAAGCCGCCTCTCGGCGTGTCTCGTTTAAACTCTCATGAGGACATGTGTCAGATCGGCGGGTGACAAATCAAGCTCGTACTTGCAGCATACGAGGGGGAATCAGGCTCTTGGAACGGGCAGAACTTTAATAGAGTGGTAGGTGTTACTCGTAGCTTTACGCTACTTTAATCATGGCGTCATGATGCTTAATCCGGGCAGTCCCGACGAAGGAACGCGGTTTGGCTCATGTTCAGCTTCGGCACTGCAGCTTTGCAGGACTTGCAGGCATCCAAGTGGGGCGAGCTGCAGGGAGAGAGCGTGTCGCTCTGGAAACTGCTGACGTTCGCTAAGGCTCTTCTCCTAGAATCTCAGCGATTGCTCTTGCGATTGGGCTTGCTGCTAGTTCCAGTAATTCTTTTCATCGGCTTCGTTATCTACAATGGCTCCATTGTGCTTGGGGACCATTCCAACCACGAAGTCGCACCACACTGGGCGCAACTTGCGTATTTGAGCGCGATCACTGCAGCAACCTGTTCCGTCGAGGACTCAGCCTTGTCGCCGAGGTTTGGCCTTTGTAGAAACACGGCTGTATCTGAATTTCAGACTTAGCACCATACCTGCTTTCCGTGTTGCATTCAGTAGCCATGGCAAAAATCAATTCACGAACTATTGATCCATCGCCAGGTGGGTGATGCAGTTTCTGAGAGCCTGCTTTGGCAGCTTGGGTGGTTTTGTTTTGTCAGCTTCGTCGCTAGCTGTGGTGGTGTGCGTGGTGCACAAGTACAGCTTGGCGCATCCCTTCTTGCTCGCAGACAACCGCCACTACACCTTCTACTTGTGGAATCGCTTTCTGAGCAGGCCGTGGGTGAGGGACGTTCTAGCTCCGGCATATCTCTATGCAGCATGGTACATTTCCACACGGCTGAGCAAGGCCCAGTCTGGACTTTGGGTCTTAATCTGGTGGGTGGCTGCCTGCCTGACGCTGGTCCCCGCGCCGTTGCTGGAGCCGCGTTACTGGACAACAGCTGTCATCATGGCCCAGCTACACTTTTACGACCGCTCTTGGCGCAGCATCCTGACACTTTCGCTCGCTTACCTGACAGTCAACATTATCACATTGGCAGTGTTCGTTTTCAGGCCATTTTATTGGCCCAACGGGGAGATTGCACGTTTCATGTGGTAGTCATGGCAGTCTTCATGGACGCCGCTAGACTTATTGCTGACGTGCAGGATGAGTTGAAGATTCAGCTTTCCAGCAAGACAAAATGGTTGTGAATCAAAGATGCGAGGTTTGTAATGGGCTTGGGCCGCCATTCCGCGACACAGGCTTGTAACAGAAGTGCCCCTGCAACAAGCACCTTTGCGACCAGTCCCTCTCGAGGGGCAGAAGTGTTCCAAGCTTTGGCGACAAAGGTAGTAACGACAGGCCGCGGCAAACGGGTAGGTAAGAGGTAGTGGGGGTGGGCCTGAGACCAAACAGGGTTGGATCCACAGTCAACTGGCTCCAGATAAGTTGCAGGGAATGTTCATTCTCTGCGAGATGGGTTTGCAAGATTCATGACCTGGCTCTCAAATTCTAGTCCCTTGATAAAGATAAAGTTAGTCTGCAATGCTGAGGAGGCAGCCAATGCGCAAATCCAGCTCGATCTACAAACCGTCAGGCACCGGCTTCAGGGCCAACGGAGTGGGAGGGGTGCATCAGACTTGCTTGGGCTCTAAAGGCAGAGCAAGGAAGAGTGAAGGTGCCAGCGTTGTGTCATTTTTAGCGCAACCCATTCCTCGACTTGCTTCGTGCGACGGCACATGCCCAGCTATCGCGAGGTTCCATGGTTCCTATAAGCAGCATGTTGATGTTCACAGGTTTGGTTTGAATCGGTTTAAAGCTGACTTAGAGCCGTGCTTCATTGAACCGAGGCTGGTTGTCAGCAGTGAGTGTCCAGGACCCCAGGCCGTAAGGCCCTACTAATAGCAGCCGTTTTGATGTCAGTCTGTGGCGCTACATGATGCCACATGTCAGGCTGGATAGCGCAACGTTGAGGTCAGCTCTGGAGGACGAGGTCTTTACCGACGGAAGGGTCAAGGATCTGAGTCGAGAGCGGGCCGTGTTGAAGCACTCATTTTCAGGTATCCACTTATGTACCATTGATGTGCACATCGTGTTTGTCAGCCGGATGTGCTTCTTAGCCTGTGACCAGATCTTCCCGGTCCTTCAGGAAAGTTATGTAACTAACTACGCCTGTTTGTGGAGTCGACCTCCCATGCTAAATCTCCCTCAGCGCTTGTCACGCTGTAAGCCTCCTTACACAACTTTGGAGAGCACTTACAGGCATATCTAGATTCTTAGGCCACATTTTTATGATTCGCTCTTTTGCCTGGACTGGTATTTGCGAAAAGCAGTCCTTGCCAGTTACAGCCAACGTTGACCAACCTGACTGCGCTACAGCGAGCCCTGGCGGCCGCACACAAGGAGGCAGCGGTGGTTCATGTTTGCAAGGCAGTCCAGCATTCCCCGCTATTAAATCCATTGCAGCCCTCTTTCCGGATTTGTTACGATTACTGGAAAGGATCCTCAATCCTCGTCTTCATGTGAGTCTTGGTGAGGCATGGCAAGACTCAAGAAGTGCGGTTGCAAGAAAGCACCATGGAGTCTGTGAATAGGCAGCTTCGTTCCGGTAGCATCTGATCTAATTATTTTGAAGCACTTAAGGGGCCTCTCAGCCTGGGATGTGTTCGTCAGGTAGAGACGCGGTGCCTTGGCGGCAAAATGCGGCAGACATCGGCAGACTAATGGGCTTCGTGCGATAACGCAGCAGCCAAGGCTGAGCGACTGCTTCGCCCGGCAGAAGAGCGACGCGCTGTTCTTGAGCCTTTTCTGCAACCACTTCTCATTGGAATGACTGGCACCGAAAAAAATCAAAATCGTCAAATCGAATTAGAAATTGAAAGAAAGTAAGCAGTGCTGGGATTTAATGGCTCTGTCCATTCGCACCAGCCCTCAAGCTAAGTAGCCTTCTTCTTTTGGTCTGGATGCAGAGCCTCCTGTTGAGACCTACAGAACGGCTTTTTAAGCTCTCAGCTGTTTCACCGCAACTTCAGTAATCACAAGATCGCAGACAGTTTGGATGTCTGACATTTAAAAGATGTCGAACATGTTCGGGCCCAGCTACAGGAATGGACGGCTGAAGGACATGGAGGCTGGTTGGACCGGCGTTCTGGGATGCTTCTGCCACCTGGCAGCACGGAAGAAAGTCATCAAGACTTGCGCGACAGGTCGTGAACATCTTGTGAACACATTTCACATGAGACAGCACGGCTCAGTTGTCGCCCTGAGCGAGCGTACTGTGAATGGTGCTAGGCGCTTCAAAGCTTGGAGCGCGAGCTCAGCCAATATCCCGCAAGCGCCAACTCCAAACATTTGAAAGCCCTGCAGCTCTCAGTCTGAAGGCAAAAGGCGGAGGCCGAAAGAAGTGGCGTTCCGCCCCAGCGAGTTCTCGGCCAAGGGCCAGGCAAACATGTAGTCTAAGTGCATCTTCATGAGAGTGGCAGCTGCGTCTGGTAACCCTGAGATTTCCAGAAACATGTGGGAGAGACACAGAGGGAGGATTGACGGGAGGCTGGGTGCCTTCAGGATTGATTTGGCTCGTTGACAGCGAGAGGAATGTTGCGTTTTGGATTTCGGAGCTCGGACCCCGCGGTTCACCTGCGCGGCTACAGTACGTAGCATTTCGCTTTGCCTTGGCAGTTTTCAGGCCCGTAAACAGCATGCCTACTGCAGCTAGTGGTAGAGTATTTATTTTATTGTTTGATGGTGGAATTTTTGACTTGGGCTTCTTGGCTTTCCGGCTTCTTGGTTTCTTTGCTTCTTTGCTTCCCGGCTTTCCAGCTTTTGGACTCTCTGGCTTCTTGGCTTCTCTGGCTTTGCGGATTCTAGGCTTTTCGGATCTTTTCGGCTTGCTCGCCTCTCTTTCTGGCTTCTTGGCTTCTCCTGCTTCTTGGCGTCTTGGCATTCTTCCTGGCTTCTCCCAACACCCACCCTTTAAGCGATCCATGCTCACTGTAAAAATCATGCCACCCTCCCCCCCCCGCCCTGATTTTTAAAGCCACCCATGCTAATGGTAGAAAAATCATGTCATCACCATGGTTGCAGTAGGGAAGGCTTTGCGCCCCCCGCTGTTTTGAAAGCCATCCATGCTTATGGTGAATGGCCATGTTTGCCGTAATGGAGGGTAAGAGAGGATTATGCGGATTATTACTCTTCACATTCTACCATTAATCTTCGTTTGCAACTTATTATGAGTTTCATCATCATTGTCAAGAATGCATCTTGTAATTTTCTCACTACTGTTATGATTACTTGGAGTACTCTTACCACAAGTATTCAAATTATTTGTTCTCAACCTCGCAAGAGCATCCTCAGAGATAGCTCTCCTTCTGGAGCTTTTCTTGAAATCTTGAAAGCTGAATTGAGCTGCCGCATAGAGCATCCTCAAATATGGTTTCAAGATTGAGCTCTTGCATGGGGCTTTCTAACACTTCGTCAAAAAATTGAGTTTTGGCCTACAGAATGCCCAGAACCCACTACAAACAAAAAACATGAAAAATACGAAATATCTACATGAATTGTTCACCCCTAGCTAGCCTGTTAGTATCTTTTAACCAACTGCATTACATCAAGCGCCAGAGTCACTCATTTCCATGCCTGTGGCCTGCTCAGCCGAAGCCGCAGTCCATCCCCGCTGATCCGGAGCAACTTGGGCTCCGTTTTCATTTGCGGTTGCAGGAGGTTGAGCCTGTTCGTGGTGGTTTGTAAATCCGGTTTTTGTAGTGTTTTGGTTTTGCACTTGTCGGCCGTGGGCATGTCGGGGTTTGGGTCGCTTTTTGGACGGTTTAGGTGTGGGTTTGCTTAGGCAGCGCAAGCACATGCAGCATCTTGTTGCGCGTACTTTCCAGACCCGTTGCAGCTCAAGTACGAGGGCGTAGGGGGCATGGCTTTCGAATTCGGCACATTACCTTGCGGAGACTGTTGAATTTCTTGACGCTTTCCCAAATGTGGAAGTTACGCGGATGACCAAGGAAGCACCAAGGAGACTGCAATGCATTGCTGAAGGAAGGGCGCAGGGATCAGGTTTGCTCGCTTGATGCCAGGCATTCGGTAACTCTGGATGCTGACTGACGGAAGAGCGGTTCCACTGAAGAGCGTGTTGGGAGAGATCAGCGTTGGATAAGCCCTGAAAGTCTCAGACAAATGATCTCCCTGCCAGACAATCCGAGTCGCTATCAAGAAAAAGCAACGCCTACCAACAAAGAAGACTGTCAGGCACAATTGCGTGGGAAGCGCACGTTTCAAGTCAGAGTCTTTGAAGCCTCTCCCAATACGCTTGAAAGCTGCAGGGCATGCGTCACAAGTGGGCATGGGTGTCCTGACGCCCACCTGCTGTATTGCGCACCGAACGTCGGTGCCTGCATAGACTGGCGAGTCACGGATGCCAAGCAACACAAAATGCCGCGCCCCATTGAAGCTAAAGATAAACTGTGGTATTCCCACGTCTTCTGCCCATAACGGATCATGAGGGGGCAGCTTTAGCTTGGGAAGGGCGTGCTGTCCGATGCTGAAAAGCGTCTACGATGTGACTTGACAACTGGGCGACTTGCATTCAACAGGTTGATGCTGCACCTCGTTTTAGCAGTTCTTAGCTATGTGCATTGCGGGGTGACTGTCTTCAGCAGCGTTACATGGCATAGCATTTAAGCGTACGTGCTTTTTCACCAACTTGGCTGCCCGATTGATTCCCACAGCTTCTGGGCTGTTTCGCTAGTTTACCTGAACATGGCAGGGGTCATGCGGAGCGTTTGGGGAAGGGGCCTGCCCCAAGGATGCTACAAGTTACAGTACTTCACTGGTTAAGTAGAATAGGCCATGAATTCCTTGGAAAATTGTTGAGGTAGAGGCCTTTTCCAGACCACCCCCCTGCCCGTTTGGGAATGTGTCTCGTGGCGTGGCTGAACTTGCTGCAAGCTCCTTAAAGATAGCGAGTTGAAACTGTGATGTCCCAATGGACTTGATGTGTTGCCATCAAGTTGTACCCCCCCGGAAGTCCTTTGCGCATCCTCTGTTCACTCAACCTCACAGTAGTGGTTTGGTGTTGCGAAGCAGCTCGTAATGCCTCATTGGGCTTGGGTCAG